GAGAGAGAGAGAGAGAGAGAGAGAGAGAGAGAGAGAGAGAGAGAAAGAGAGAGAGAGACTCTCTTGTAAATCCAAGAATCAGAGCCATTGTTCATTATCCTGAAACAGCATAAAGGACAAGAATTGTGTATGTCAGTATTGATTAATGGCCTTGAACTTGGAACAACATCATACTCCTAGTTGATTTTTAAAGATATAGTTTAAATAATATATTTAAAACTTCAGGGACGCCAAGTATATGGAAAAGCATCCAACATCACCGAGTGTGACGCATGCTTTCTTGTTTTCTCCAGTCCATGTAATAGAACTGCTTCTGTGAAGTTGAGGCACATGAATGTCTCCTCTTAATCTTGCCTTTTCTGGATCACCTGAAGTCTCTCTTTGTTTTAAGTTTTATGAGAGTAAGAGAGTCAGAAATACAGCCATACCCGTAGGCAATTGTTTTTCACAGCATTAAAGCAAAGAGAGCCGCAGATTCCCGGGAGATTTCAAGGAAAACAGACCTTGTCTCCCGCCGTAGCCATTGCTCTGGTAGATTTGGCACATCACCCACATCAGCACCTGGAGGGAAAACAGTGTGTGAAGGCTCCATTGTCCTCAAAGGAACTGGGAGAAATGCTTGCAGTAACTTCTCTCCAATAAAACCAGGCGCGATGGCACACACCTGTAATTCCAGCACTTGAAGCAGGAGATTGCAAGTTCACGTCCAATCTGGGTAACCTGGCAACTTAGAAAGACCTCCATTATTATTTATCAGAATAAATAATGTAATGTAAAACAGTACTGGAGATGTAGCTCAGTGTAAAGGCTATGGGTTTAATCCCCAGTGCTGGAAAAAAAAAAAAATCCCCGGCAGGAATGGCGATATTGGGCAGACTTTTTGGATTTTTTTTTTTTTTTTTTTTTGTATAACCGGGGATCGAACTCAGGCCCTTGTGCTTGCCAGGCAAGCACTTATTCTACTGAGCTATCTCCCCAGCCCCTGGGCAGACTTTTATGTTTGATTTGCTTTGAGTTTCTAGCATTCACACATGCCAGAGAAAGATGACAGAAGAGGGACAGCAGGTATTATTTGTTCAGTGGAGAAGAAGCACATGCCAACTGGATGAGGGACCTTCGTCACCTCTCTGTATCTCTCCCTGCTTCAACCCAGCCCCAGTGCTGGGAAGCCCAAGTGGCACTGATATAGCTAAGCCCGCAGCCAGTTACACCTGAACGCAAGCTGCATGCAGACAACCCATGAAACTGTTCCCGAAGGTGTAATCTGAGCATTGGCCCATCTGGAGCCTACCATGAAGGCTCAGATGCCCAGCCTGGCATTTCAAATAGTTTGAGCATCCCTAACCCAAATATCCCAAAAGCCAAACTATCTGAGTCTTGGCTGCTAGAGTACTTCCCATGAGGCATGTTTAACTGGTAAAATCTAGCTTAAATATCCTAAAATCTGAAGAAAAAAAAAAAAAAAAGAAACCCACATCTTCTGGTTCTAAGCGTTTCAGATATGGGATACACAATATGCACTAAATGTTCCTGTCACATTTATCACTGGCCTAAAGCTGGACACTCTGCCTTCCACAGCAGAGGAATCTATCTGCACAGCAGGCCTACTGGCATGAGGAGGTTCTCAATTTCGGGTTTGTGGGCCTGATAGCCCCGTGCTTTATCTTCATGGGTCTGCAGTGAATTCCCTAAACATCCATGCCCCTAGTCTATCCATTTTGCATGTGTTAATGTGCATGTCTGTGTGTAGAAATGGCTAATGGAGGTTATCAGATGTAGTGTTCAGGAGTTCGTGCCCACCCTTGCAGTAGAATGCCATGCGGAAGGCAGGTGGCTCCCAAATAGTGCCTTCTCCAGAAAAAGTCAAAATCATCCCACCAAGCATGTCTACTGATAGAGTCTCTGGAGCAACCCCGTTTTCTCCAGTCTAGAGAGCTTTTGTAAATATCATCTTCATTTTATACTGTTTTAAATATTCAGAGAGCTTTTGCGAAGCATTAGTATGTAAAATAATGTATTGGGCACACTAAAAATTTAAACCAAAGGCATCATGTAACATGCAATATTACAATGCACTTTTATACTTGCAACAGTTAAATTAAGTGAGTCAGGATCGCTAGGTTAAAAGTGACGACTCAGCCTCACTCCCATGCAGTTTAATCTCCAACAATAATTTTTGACTAGGGGACCATTTTGCTGTCTGTGGGATATTTGGCAATTATTGGATATACTTTCACTTGTCATGTTAGTACATGAGTGCTGTTGGCCAAGGATGCTGCTAAACATCCTAAATTGTACATGACACACTTTTACAACAAAAATGTGTCCAACCCAATATGTCGGTCATGCTGAGCCTGAGAAACCTGGGTCTAGCCCTTAAGTACTGCTGTTATCATAACCAGGCTAATCCATCTATGCTCAATGTCCCTAGAAGCCATGAAAGTAACTTCTGGCTCATGTCATGCCATGTTTGTTGATCTGCCTCCTCCCCAGTGAACCTTTCAGGTTCTCTGTCTCATCACTGGGGCTGCAAAGCCACCAACCTTTTTAACAACCCCCCTTCCTCTCAACTGGCATTCTGGCTGTCACAACAGAGATGGTTTGGGTTGTCTTGTTATTGATGAGTTGGCTTTTCCAGACAACTCCTCTGGCCTTGGAGACCTGGACTTCAAGGCCAGGCTCACTAGCTAAACAGACTTGGACTTGAGTCCCTTCCTGATCAGTAAGCTGCAAATTACCAGGAAAGATTTTTATCTCCCTAAACCATAGTTTTCTATTTCATAAAATGGGATGCCAGCTTCAATGATCCTGCCCCCATCTTTCTCCTCCTGAAGGAAATAACTAACATTGTATTATCATCTTGGCACTAAGTCCCTTTCAGCTGGTATAGTCCTGCCCTTGTGTTGTAAGGCTTATATGAGAACATACATGAACCATACATTCCCAAGTGGTCCTTAGTAATCAGTAGGGTGCTTAAGGGATGTCTCAAGCCAAAAGAAGACAGTTGCTCCAAGAAGTATCACAAATGTTTACCAGAGTTCAAAGGATCTCTTACCGACAACATCCTAGCTAATATGACACATGCTTATGCACCACAAGTTATAAGCAAGCTTAAACATTTGTCATGTACAAATATTAAGCTGATCATGGCCTTGAACCTATGTACTTCATACATGTAACAATATTTCAGAAAAGAGTTTGTATCTCTCAAACTCATATTAAAATGAACAAATTACAGGCCCCACCCCCAAATTCTAATTTAATGGTCTGAGGTGGTTGGAGATTTCTGCAGTTCACTTGGAGCCCTTCCTGGCCCTTCTGTTTAGCGCACAATCCATGCTCTCCAGGTGAGCCTGCTGTTGTCACCTACACTGTCACACTGTCTGCTCCATCAGTATTACCCCTGAGCCCAACTCCCACCCACAGCCCCCAGGAGATGGGGACATGAATGAAATAAATATGGGGAATGGGTGAAAATTTTCATTCTCCCCAGAGACATAAATTTAGTCACAAACTGACTTGAACAGTAAAGTCATAAGATTTTATTCTTGACTATAGAATCAGTAAGAAAGAGTCCACTTCTCTAGGCAATCCCCTCCCTCTTTATCTCCATTCATAAGAAAGTCTCACTTCATGTAGATCCTCCTCTATCACATACTGCCTAGAGAAATAAGGTATAATAGTGTATGTGTTGTTCCATCGAAAACTCAAGCAACCAGTAAATCCCATTTTAAACAGCTCTCCTAACTTAAATATTTATTGGGCACTAGGCTGCTATTGGAGCTAAAAGTGAACTGAAATATAAGGTAAATAAACCAAAACTGCTCAGAGTATTGCTACTCCAAAAAAAAATATCCTGTGCTGTAATATACTGAGCCTTTACATTACGCCTACAGGCTGCTTTATGTGCATTTTTATTTCACCTTTTTCTTAGGAAAGAAGAAATATTATCATCATTATTATCTTGTTCTCAAGTGACATATACAGACACACCCATGTGACATTAATAGGCCAATAACAAGTACTACAGCCACCTGGACATTTTCCAGCCCACTGCGTTTGTGTTGGGAAGGACTATAGCTCCAAGTGTGTGACAAAAAATAGACACACGACAAGGGGTAATAATAGCAACAATAATAAGAGTAGCAGCAGTAGCATCCTACAAGGCTACTCCATGTGAATGGTAGTCCAGGTTTAGAAAGAAGAAAACTGATTCTCAGAAAGTTTGAGAGAGCCACCCAAGGCTCCACTGCCCGTGTCAAAGTTGATGTCAACCTGATTCTCTTGGGTGTTGCTTGCCCAATACCTGCCGCTTTTGAGAGTTGTGATGGATGAACTCACCCACAGCAGTTGTGTCCTCCCAGACTCTTAGCTCCTGAACTCGGCTGTTGAGGCTGTAGATGAAAACTCTCTTGTCCTCCTCTTCAAGTTCAACATGAAGACGCTCCCCTTCTCTAGATCTCTTTCTAAGGTGTCTAGAAGACAGCACAAGCTTGGGGGGCCTTCTTCCTATTCAACTCAGGAATCCCTCACGTTCTGGTAGGAAATTTGCATCCTTCCAGAAGTAGCGTTTACTTGGCAACTCTCACCCAGGAAGTCTGTTGCTGCACCACATCCACCTCCTGCAGAGAGAGCAGCCAGTGGCCACAGCTATTAACCTGAGCTCTAATTAGGGCAGTTTTATAATGAGGAAAAGACTGTGATTCTAATTAGTAATTTTCCATCTTTTTTCTCAGTAGGTATTCCCCAGTTGAAGCAATATGCTCTCCTGTTCACACTGGTCACATTGCCAAAACATAAATACAATATAGAACTTGAGCAAAAATGAAAATAGTGAAGGCAGAGAAGCAGAACAGGGTTTTATTGGCCACTGATGTGCTGTTTTATTTGTTCCTTTGACTGTTTCTTAGACCCGAGGTGCTGCAATGGTCGGCTCTGACATGGTTGTCACCGTTGAGTTCACCAATCCTTTAAAGGAAACTCTACAAAATGTCTGGGTATACCTAGATGGCCCTGGTTTATTGAAACCCAAAAGGAAAATGTTCCGGTAAGTGAAATGAAATCCCACTAAAATGTCTGAGAAGCTGCAGTTTCTTATGGACCTTTTGTGGGGGGTATGGGGTAAAAACAGGGTTAGTTTGACCAGCACTTGAACACTTAAACCCATCCCAAAGATGGAGATCAATTAGTATGGCTTTTGTATGCTTGAGAAATTTAGGATTTTAGAAAGCAATTGGTTTGTTCTCCATGTCACACAATTTATATAAGTAGAGTTGGAATTCAGACTCAGGGTTGCTAATTCTTCAACCTAGGTTTCAGTCACTTTCATACTACCCCCTCATATATCAACACTCTAACGTCCTCACTGTCAACACGGATGTGCGGTGAGTTAGACATGATGCTGAAAGATTCCTGTTCAATGAGCTTTTTCTTTCCAGCTCTACCTCTTTGATTTTGATAACCAATCACTGTCTATGACAATGATATAACAGTTGTTTTTATTCTTTTAGTTTAGCCTGAAGAATTCTAAAACTTGTTTCCATCAAAGCTCTGTGGTATTAGGAATGTGATACAGCCTCTTCCAAAACTAGCACCATCAGACTGTGCCCTCCAAGTCTATTGCTGTGGCTTCTGTTGACAAAGACCATTTTCCAGTAGAAGGGCCCAATTCCATTGTCAGGGAGATATAATTGTAGGGAAAAAAGATATTTTTTACATTTTGTCCTACCAATGATAATATTAATTTTGTTATTAGATTGGTCCAAAATAAAGCCCATCTGTCTTCTGTCTGATGGCTTGCAAATGTTTGCAAATAGCTGTCTTGCCTTCCTTGAGTCTTCTCTACTTGGGACCAAATACCTTCCCTGGCTTCATCTTTCTCACCCTTAATGTGATGTCATTCCCTCCCCCTCCCACATGCTCTAGTTTGTCAGAGCTGCTCTGAAAGTGTGACACCCAGAATGGATCCCAATCTTTGAGGTTTATTACTTTCATTTCTACCACAAATAAGTCCCTGTCAGCATCAATCAATCCAGCTCATTTCCTGTGGGTGACCTTCTATGGTACAAAAAAAGAAAGCGGAGGACTTTGGAAACTGCCTTACGGCTGGACACGTTAGGAATTTCCCCAGTTCCCTCTATGGAAATGAGCCCATTCTGTAAGCTATAGGACAAGTGCGAGACCTTACCCTTTCTAGATCAGCTTTATTCCCCACAAATGACTCTGCATTTATTTCAGACTACAGGGCTCACACCTTCTATGCCCTCTCATTTAGGAGACGCCTTAGTGCAGATGAAATATGTAGCAGAGAAAATAATTTGAGTGTTTTTCTTAAAATTCATGCACAAGATATAATAGCTTTCCTGTGCTAATAGGAAGGTTGCAGGAAAAAAAAGAAAAGAATTGAGTTAGAAATTCACCCCAGCTAGAGGACGAGGTCAGTGACAATAGCCCAGCTTTCGTCGGAAATGACAATCTCACTCACCCATAATACAGCCTCCCACTTAAGTCAGATGCAAGACATGCTCCAGCAAGATGAAACATGTTTCCTGTTCCAAACGGCCCCTGCAGTACCCAGTTGATCCTTCTGAAGCAGCAGCCCCACAAGCTTCCCCTGAGGGTCCCAGCGCCTCATGCTGCCTTCCCACATTGGCTATCCCCAGAATCTACCTTGACCAACACAGACACAGCTGCTGAGGCTAAATGAGTGACCCAGGGGCCTATGTGCAAAAGCCTAGCAATCCTGGGAGGGTCTGTGCACTGTGATTGTCCCCCCACAGGGGATGATGGCTGAAACAGGGAAAAAATGGATGTGACCAGTCCCCGCATGGACACAAAGAACAAGTCATTCCCCCTGTGCTGGCATGGGATACTATTAGTATTTACTGTCAACTCACAGGGTAAGGGCAGACAGATGCACAGGTACCCCGTCTTCAGCACTTGGGCTGCTACAGTAGCAATACCGTAGATGAGGTAGCTTAGATAAACAGACCTTTGTTACTCACAGTCCTAGATCCTGGAAAGCCCAAGGTCAAGGATCCAGCCAAACTGGTTCCTCGTGAGGAGTTGCCATGGTTTGTGGACTAACATCTCCTCTCCACATCTTCATGTGATGGAGTGAGATGGAGAGCAAGCTCTCTGGTGTCCCTTCTTCTTAGGGCACTAATCCCTTCATGGGGACCTCACTCTCATGACATCATCTAATTTAATGACCTCTCAAAACTTCATCCCTAGACACTATCACATTGTGGGGTAGGGATTCAACACAGAAATATTGGGAAAACAAATATTCAATCCACAGTGGTCCCCAATCTCTTACGGGAATTCAGTTCCAGAACAGAACCCCACCACCACCTAGGCAATGGAAGCTGTTTCTCAGATATAGTCAGAAATCAGTGGTGGGATGGGGTGGGTGACATAGAAAACATCTGTTATCTGGACAGGCGCAGGGCTTTGGAGCAAGCACTACTTTCTGTTTCCTTCTGACTCTGGCACACACACCTTTACAACCGAAACCTGAGCCAACCAGAGCCCACTTCCATATGGCCAGATAATTGGAAGTGCTTCACCGTACGCTGTGTTGCTGAGGTCTGGTCTGAGGGCGCCAGATCTGTGTAACAACTTGAACTTCTAGCAACTGCAATTGCAGAGAATCAGAATCCTTTATAAGACTGTAGGACATAGATTTTTAAATAGGCAGATAATTACCAGCCCCATCCTTCCATCCCTGTTTTTCACCAGAATGGAATGAAGAAGGTAGGGGGTCTCCAACCCAAAGTAGAGGACCTGGAGATTGGGAGCTGGTGAGCAGGGAACTGGAAGTAGGAACAAAGAAGGAAGTGCTGTGTTTCAGTCCAGAACAGCTCACGCCTGGGAAGGCTCACCTTCCTGTTCTTCCCCACTACCTCCCACCTGTCTCAGATGCTCAGTTTCTGTTCCCACAGACTCTTGGCTTTTACCTTACTGCACTTGGTGCTTCCAGAACACAAAATAATTCATCTTCCAGATTCATTTCTCTCTTTAAAGAATGATCAGTTTCAGTGAGTTATTTTAAGGAAAAAAATTCCCCATCTTTGTGATTTGGTTTTAAACTTTAAGTTTCTCAAGTGAGGCAGAAGTTAAGATCTAGACACATGGAGCACAAGCCATGGGTAGTTGCAGTGTATGGTAATAATAATCCCATTTGCTTGCATGCACTCAAGATGATAAATGGCCGATGTATCCTGATGGTTCAGCGATTACCGAGGATCATTCATCATAACATCCATCCCCAGAAACAGTATCGTTCCCACATTATTCCACTTACCGAAAAAGCAAGTGACTTTTCCCCTCTATTTCCAGTCCACTTTTATCTACAGATAAAGTAGAGTATATGTGTGTCTTCATGTTTGCATATTTTTTTATGCTCACACCACTATGAGCAAGAACAAACCATTAAAGCTTTTGAGGTAGTCGCCTACACGGCGTGGTCCCCAGTCAGATCCCTAAGCAGGACAACTGTGTCACAAAGTACAGCTGATTGATCATGTGGGAAACCCAATGGGAGAGAGTGAATGAATCTGGTTGGAAATAGCACATTTCTCAAGAGATGAGCATCTTAAACCACCATGCATATTGAATTGATGATTGTAAACTAAAGGACGAAGAATTGTCTTGCAACATACAGGCAGGAGAAAATTGTCCAAATTATTTTGCTGAGAGTTTAGGCAGAAAAACCAATAGCCACAAAGGTAGACATGATGGTGGTAATAATAAGAACAGTAGGGTTTCACACTGCTTGGCCCGTCCGATGTTCCTAAGGGAATACTGACTCACCGTACCTTCTCCTTGCCCTGTCCAATAGGACTTGCCTTTTATAGGTGAGAAAAACAATGACAAGGTTAATGTTTTTCCAACTTTGAGCCATGGAGTGAATTTACTTGGATTGAAAAACTATGCATGTGTGCTATGTCTGTGTGCACATTTCACATAATGTTTTTTTATTTAAGTGGTTAAAATCACTTATAGATTACATGTATAAAGAACCAAAGCTAAGAAAAGACATTAACAAATAGAAAATTAACTTAAGTATTTTAGGTTATTAGTTCAAATGCCTAAAAAAGCCCCGTGGAGAGAGTTCCCCAAGGCCATAGTTTCTTTTTCCAATTCACTGGCCATAAATAGGAAGGGACTTCCTTATTTAGTGACTACACTTCTAGGATTGAGCCCTTTCATCTTGTTATCCCACTGTAGCTACAATGAACATTATTTGATTGACATTAAAAGAAAAATTCTGGGATTCTAATTTCTCATAGCAGAGGCCACTTGTAGGTCTGTGACCTCATATTTCCCCATCTTCTACCTCTGTTGAAAGTGATACTGTGTGGGTCTAGCCCCCAAAGGGCAAGGATGGCTGAGGGGCTGAAGGCCTCAGGCCACGCCTATGTATGCCAATCAAGCCATCCTCTATGCCAGCACACCACTGGGTACACCACTTGGCACCTAGTTCTGCTACTCAGGAAAAGACCTTGACATAGAACTCGACCTGCCCACCAGTGTCACAAATGTTGCTTTATGGCCTCACTGGCAGATTTGCCCATCTATAGCTACTGCCTAAATCCGTCATATGGCAACACTCCCTCCACTTTGTCCTCAGCCCAGGAGTGAGAGCCCAAGGATTGAGCTTGCCTCCGTGTCACTATAACAGGATGGCTTGGTAAAGTGCTGTCACATAATAAATACATCTGGTAGGGATGATAGATGAAGAAGCAGCTGAACAAGAAGCCAGTATGGCTGAAATGACAACAGCTAGTAATTTCTGAAACTTCAGCCCGTGTCGGAACCATCCTGTGCCCTTTGCCTGAATCTTTCATTTAATTTCCACATTGGCTCTGTGCGGAGCATGGCTCCTTCCTCATCTTGCAGATGAAAAAAATGAGGCTTAGAAAAGAATGCCAATTACCTGAGTTTGCACAGCTAGGAAGTGGAAGAGTCAGGTTTTGAGCCCAAGTGTCTGACACAAGTCCATGGGGCTTGGACCACAGGACAATGACACCGGTCATTTCACATTGTTTACATAGCAATATCTGACTTTTTAAATGGATCATTCATTCCATTTGGCCTTTTTTCTCCACAGCTCCATCTGACAGGCAGCTGCAATCATTAAATAAACCCCACCTGTAACAGTGTTCTTCAGGGAACCATACTATGCACCAAAACACTTTCAACCTGATAGACTTCATTGGGTATTGTCTTCATCTCCATAACTTTTAAGTACCCAAAACTATTTGCTAAGACTTTAGGTCTTCAAACCCACTGGAGTTCAAATCCAGTAGGTACCAATTTCAGTGACCATAAAGGAACCATAAAACCGCAGAGATTACATTTAATGAATCACATTTGGAGCAAGCTCTACATTGTCCAAAGGCTCATGGAGCAGATTTGTCTGTACCATCTCAGGGTGGAAAGAGCCAATACTTTTGTTATGTTGTAAGTCTTTCATACCATCATTACTTTTGCTTTCTGATATTCAGGTCTTCATGAACTTCCAAAGAGTACAAACTCATTCTATTAACAGGAATCTAGAAATGTTCTGCAGGTGGCTCTAACTCCAGTTCTTTTATTATCCAGGCCTTTTGACTTGGTGACTCTGGAGATTGTGCCTGCTTGGACCTTGGTCCCCTCACCTGTAAAATGTGATAGTGTCCTAAGCTGTTTCTAAAGCCCCCTTTCAGATTCTGCCAAGCTAGGCTTCGGAAGCCCCATGGAAACAGTCAGGTCTCCTTTTGCCTTCTCAAGACTCTTGTCCTTCCCACTCCACACTCCCAGGAAAAGGTGCCCTAGGGCTCCATGCCAGTCTCCCCAGAACAAGACCTCATCATAGATCAGAGAGCAGGCATCTTCCATACACAAAGCTTGCAGGAAGCTCTTGATATAGAAATAAAATACATCTGTGAAAAAGAAATCACAATGACCAGCACGACAGCTTCTGCAGATTATATAGGCAATAATTAGAAAAAAGGCCAGGATCTGTAACTCAGAGAAACCTGGCCTCAAAGCCCATCGCAGCCCATTTCCCAACTTCACAATCTTGGAAAAATGGCCTCACAGCATCGGGCTCCATGTGTCACAGAACATCTGGGCAGGGCACTGTCACATGGACAAATCCTGTGTGCTATGTCCTCGCAGGGTTATAGGAGAGGATGAGTGAGAGGTCACCTACGCCTGTCCAGCCCTCTTGTCATCCATAAGGCTGACCCATGAGACTTATGAAGGTCTGAGCATGCACTGAGGAGGAAAAGGAGAGTCAGGAACCACAAAACGGTCACCTGTCATCAAGCCAATTTAGAGCCTTGGCGGTAATCAAGTAGCAGAAAGGTGCATTACCAGAGAGAACCCAGTGTGGTGGCTAAATAGAACTATAAACTACAAAGTGTGAAGATACAGAAAGTCAGATGGCAGCATGCAGGGTCCTGGTTGGAGGTGGAAACAAGGTCAGTCGAGGTTGGTGGCCGCTACTTAGAAAGTCAGGGCCATAGCAAAAGCAGCTGAAGATTCAGATCAGACTCAAATGCCAAGAGGGAACTAGGAGCAGAAGATCATTCATATATACAAGGCTACCATGGAGGGCTTGGGGTCAAGCTAGAGCTTGGTTGACTCATAGCTCAGTGGGACTCAGCACAGGTCTTCACATCTACTGGAAGGTCATTAGATGCACCCAGGGAGAAAGAACCATGATCCAGTAATGCTGTTAGTGACCAGCTCTGCAGCACCTGCTGCAGGGAGCTCCCTGGTTACTAACTGCTGAGCAAGCCAACAAGGTCCTCAGTCCTCTGAGCATGGTCAGCCAAGAGGAAAAGAACAAGTGGCCCAGTCAGGGTACCCGCCCACTTCTGCATGCAATGGAAAGTGTAACCTGCCAACTTCTCTCTTCTCCATCCTTACAGTGAAATTCGGCCCAACGCCACCGTGCAATGGGAAGAAGTGTGTCAGCCATGGGTCTCTGGCCCTCGGAAGTTGATAGCCAGCATGACCAGCGACTCCCTGAGACATGTGTACGGCGAGCTGGACTTGCAGATTGAAAGACGACCTTCCACCTAAACACACAGCAGACGGAGATGGACCCAGGCACTTGGTCTCTTGCAGAGTTAGCTGGGGAAATTCTAAAGCAAAAATAGTTAGCTCTTATTTTCACAGGCATGGAAGACCCAAACAAGACCGGGGAGGGCCCCAGGGCCAGGACACCATACACTTCAGAAACGCTTTTCCAAATCCAGACTATCCAGTGTAGAGGTTAGCTTTGAATCACTCTACCTTCCAAGGATTCGGAGAATTAACTTTAATTAAGCTCTAATTAAGCTCTCATAGCTCATAAGAGTAAATGCCATCATTTATCTTTGCAAATGGCTGCAGCTCCAAATATCAGAGGGCTTCCCCTAGCAGAAGGATATGCTCAATACCTAGCCTCCTTTAAAACTTCTGATCCCCACTCAGGCTTTGGAGGGAACATATGCCCTCAAGAGATAGGAGCATATGATTTGGTCCTTAGAATTCTAGTCTCCTTTCTTGGAATCAGGTTCTACCCTCTGTGTTAGAATATTTGTTCCAGGAATTGAACACATCATTTTTCTTCTTGGCAAAGCCCAGGGAAGGTTGTTCATCTTGCACCTGCAGCCAAGCAGCTTCCTGCCAAATTCTACAGCTTCACCTTGTAAGAAGATGCAGCCCCATATTAACAAATTGCATTTGTGGGAAACTCAGTCACCTAGGAGGAGAGAGAAAGCAGGTGCAATAGTCAGATCTATTAAATAATGTAGCTTTGTGGTACATTTTATAGGGGTCACATAGTGGCCTGATCAGCAGGAATCAATATCCCTTAGTTTAACCCTTTCTGGGTGCAGTGGTACAAAGTAATGGGCTTACTTGGGACTGCAGAAATGAGAAATTCATTGCCTTAATTAGTTAAACACTTCCCTGTGTCTCTGGAGTCATTTCCTCTGTGCAGTGACACAGGCACAAATCTCTTTTAGAATTGAATTAAGCCCAACAGGTTGCAGAAGATGGCAGATTTAGTGGTGAAACTCATAGACAGGCAGGCAGCTATTGATTCCCTCTTTGCCTTTATATTGCCTGCATGGGGATGTCACCTCAACCTTCAGGTGTTGGAAGGTGCCATGGACCCAGCTTGGCCAATAGTCAATGCTAGTGCAGACCTAATGACAAATGATGCCAGGAGACTTTCTGTTATGCTCCAAGGGCCCAAGAGTCAAAGCTGCTGGTATTTTTTTATAAGGTGGCTAAACAGTCATATTTTCCCTTTGAAATTTCTTGGTGTGACTTAGTTCAGCAGACTATGACTGACAGAAACACAGTGGAAAAGAGGGTGCAGGAGTCAGAATGGAATGCTCGGTCTACATAACGCCATTGCTAAGCCTTGTAGCTTTTGCTTGAGCCTTCAGTGGCAACCCATGAGAGCTGGTGAGTCCCCTCCACAGCAAATCCCAGCCATACACAACTCCCTACATTTGCCATGCTTTGCAATGCCAAATTTTAAAATGTAATACATTTTGCTAGACTGTTCAATTACCTTACCTTAATATGTTATTAATGGGAATGTAATAGATGCTTCAAATAAAGTTAATCTCATTACTTTGCATCTGCACAGAAGTTGGTGCTGTTAATTTTCAGTGTGTCACACCACAACTCCCGAGAAACTACCCTTCTTTTGTGGTGAACAACCCACCCTGGGTAGGACAATAGATTATTTTAAAGAAAAATAATACCAAAAAGTATTGATGTCCCAGTTAACTTTCCTCACCTCCTCTCTTCATGTTATTAACCACACTTACTGAAAGAAGCCTGCATGTTTCGTTTTCTAACTGGCTTCCAGAAACTGAAAAATCTCCATGAACATCTTCCCATGAACGATGTTGTGAGCATCACGGTGAGTCAGTGCACAGCCAGCGTGGGGACCAAGCATGATGAATACCTGGTACAGACTGACAGCAGGGATTGAAAACATGGGGAGAGTGTACAGAGGAGATCCTAGCCCACAGGAGACCTTAGAATCCATGTCAAACACTGATGGAACTATGTGACACACAAGTTTCTAACAGCTAAAATGTGGATAGCCAAGGAGTCACTGTGGCAGGGACCTCTGAAGACTCAGCATATTGCCTCTAAGGTCCTGGTTACTTCTGCTTCCAAGTAATGGTCTCCAACTTCCAGCCCAGAAGAGTTTGCACTTCTGGAAACAAATGGGTCTTATTCTCAGCACCGCCACACATTCATACCTCGTTCTACCTTTACAAGCACTTTCTTGTCTAAGAACAAAAATAAAGCCAAAACAAAAAATTTACTGCATCTGTAAGAAATCACTTCATAGAGACATAGACAGACATGGCACAACCTGTAAGCCCAACCCACGGGAGGCAGAGGAAGGAGGGTCATTAGAAATTTGAGGCAGGCCTGGGCTACATAGTGGGCTCACAGCACAGCCCTGCTTCACATACAAAAACGAAAAAAGACAAATAAATTAAAATCACCTCAGCTGTGTCAGGAAAAGGAACAAGAAAATGGTGCTCACCTCCTCTGCCAAGAACTAGCCTAAGCCTTTCCAGCTCTAGACAATGGTCATTTTAAAAAGATACCCAGCAGACTTTCTGCTGATAAAGTTTACAAACTCCCATTAATTTTCATGCTGATCACTATTCTAAGACTTAAATGATTATCTAAGAAAAGTTCCGTCAGCCCTGAAACTAACGTAAGACATCCAGAGAAGCAGTATTTCTATTAGTAAACTGAGTGTCCCTGTAACTCAAAGAGGATTCTTTTCTCTCTGATTTGAGCAAATTTAAACAGTAGGAAAGAATAGTACCAAAAAAAGCATAATCAGAGATGGAATTTGTTGTATTAATAAGGAAGAGTTTGATCATTAAATAGTTCATTAAAATGATCGTTAAATAGTTACTCTTTCCACTGAGAGACAGGCCCACACTCCCTTTCCTCCTCTTGATTCTAGGCAGCTCTGTGGCTATTTTGACCTTGGAATGTGATTGAAACAATGCTACCTATTCTAAAGCCCATATGCTGGGAAAATGGTAGCTTCTACTTCTCGTCTTTTGAAATCCTTCTTGTAGGAGCCCTGGGTTTCTGGGTAAAAGCATAACTGGTCTATGGCCATGCTAGGAAAACCTACACGGTCACTCCGCCCACACCCACTAAACCCAGCCTTCCAGCCACCGCTGCTGAAGCACCAGGCACAGCGAGGAAGCCATCTGGTGCCCTCCAGACCAATGCGTCCATCAGGAGCAACCAATCAGTGATCTCATTCAGTGCCACCTTAAGCAGAAGAACCATCCTGGCAAGAAGTGCCCAGATCCCTGTGCCACCAAATAATGAAAAATAATAGAATAGTTGTTGAAAGCCATCAGATTGGAGACAACGTGTAGTATAAGACATTCTCACAATGCTTAAACCTAACAACCACAAGAAATGAGATCGTGCTTTTTTATTTGCCTATTTGTTTTAAGTAAAGTCTCCATGCTTTGCAACTTTGTCTATTCTTTCTGAAGAAAACATACTCATAGATATATATTTTGTTGTTACTCAGTAGCATCCATATATTTCAAGAGACCTATCATCTTCTTTTAAGAGTAATAGTGTAAATACTGCCAGGTCCTTGTAATTCTTCCTGTTAAACTATGATTTTCTGACCTTTTTTGCCACCTTCAGCTCCAGTGAGATTTGGAGCAGTCACATGAGGGGCAACTTGAAGACAAGAGAGAGAGGCACAATGAGAGGTGACAGTCCTCCTTCCCCAATGCCTAGGGAAGGGGATCTTCCCATCCAAGGCCTCAGAGGTTCTCAAACCCTCTATCACCCCTTGAGCCCAGCTCCCGAGAGAGCTGAGGGACACCTCAGCCAGACAGTCTGGTCATAAATCCACATTTCATTCTTTATCTCCTTGAACATTCAAAGCTGCCTTGACTTGCAGAAAACGGAACTAACTCTAAAGCTAGATTAAACTGTTCTAATCCTGGGTATGCAATTTCCCATTTGTAGTGTGATGGAGAGAAAACTGTTTCCAATTTGGGCAACACTTTGAATTCAGGTGTTTGGATTTGGGGTGCTCAATCTGTATGCACACTCAACACGTACAGCCCCTGGAACAAGGAAGTCCAAGGGGGGGGCAACACCAGGAGCTTCGGGTAAGGATGGCTCAGAAGCTGGCAATGGATGTCAGAAGCCAGTGGCATTTGGACTCCTGAGACAGCAGAGCACTCACGCGAGGTTGAGCGCTCACGACTGATCACGTGAGCCCTTATCCTCCTGCCCAGCTTCCACCCACCAGGCCTCCATGCCACAAGCCATGCCCACGTGTCTGCGCTGCCCCCCCCCCCAGACTGTGGGCCGTGGCCCACGCAGGCCTTTCCCCAGTGCCGTTCCTCTCTGTGCCGCAGCCTTTCCTGTGTGGTCAGCCCTGTACAGCATAACAGGAAAAGAGCTTCAACCCACCTCACTTCGCCCCTCCCTCAGATGAGAGATTTGTAAACTTAGTGGAGGACTGGCTGTGACAAGCCGTGCGCTCAAGATGGATTTTCAGTGTTCTCCGGACCTCAGCAACACCTTTATTCTCTTACTTTTAGGGACGTTTTATCATTTGCTAGTTTTTGCTGCTTCTGGTGCTAGCCGCCATGGCTGACAGTAGCCATGCTTCACATCTACACGTGTGTACCCCACAGGGACTTCAGGGGACAGGGATACAACCTACTGAGCACTTCCCACTCACACGAAGCCCACAAGGCAGACGTGCCCAGGGTGTGGCCTGTGTGGCCACCCTTGATTCTTACTAAGTCACTTTTATTATAGACACAGACTGAGTTCATGAAAATTCTTCTTTCATCTTACCTACAGCCATGAATTAAAAAATTATAGCTTCAATAAAGGAAGTTGCCTTTTATGCTGATCATCACAAAGAAATGCTGGATATCTTTAGTAATATTCCAATTAACTTTATTGAGTACACAACCCTGAAAACCCATATAGATCAACAAAGTGTTATCATGACATGAAATGGGATAATGGGCATAATGCAATAAAGCCTCTCTCTATTGTGAAAAGCAACAGGCTGCAGCAACGTCTTTGCTAGCAGTGTCATCCAGAAGATGAAGGCCATTATCCATGAAATTTAAGCTTAAAAAATCCAAGCTCACTTAAATAACCTACATATTGGAAATGTAACAGAAAAGCATTAGCCTCTGATTTTTCCCTTAATCCTAGCTATCTTTTAAAAAGTCCTATTTAAGGACAACTTGCTATCAGTAATCTCACTGGTGCCTAATGTCTCATCCTGTTAATGCTCAGTAAATATAAAATAATAACACAATGAAGTACTGGCTCTGTCTTCTGTTTTGTAAGTTGGTACTCCAAGTAAGTAGTCAAAGGATTACCTTATCCTTCTTATTTTAAATTGTATTACCAGTAAAGTACTACTAAAATACTATGGCATACTTGGTCCTGGACCGAATTGAAGACTGACAAAGAATCCTGATGAAATAATGAGATAAAAGATGGGCCCTGGGCCCTACTGGTAAGGAAGAATCTCTTTGAAAAACTATTTGGCATTATCTCCTAAGTATGAGCACACAGAATAAATGAGGCATTACATTCCTAGGAATATGTTTTAAAATATGCTGTAACATAATGGACAAATAAAATGTGGCACATTGGTACAATTAAATATCATGGTAACTAAAATACATTTGCATAATAAAATAAATATATAAAATACATATGGTGTAAAATATTACCCTACAAAAAAACTACCACCCAACATATAAAAAGAAAACCGACGTGAATAAGCACACATTATAACATGGTTCTGTTCATTTAGAGATCAAAAAATAGGCAGAACTGATCTACCCAGCCCAATGTCTGGAAGGTGGTTACCCCTGGAGGAGGGATGGCATCTAAGCATGGGAAGGAGAGAGCTTCTAGGACACTGGCGCTGTTGTGTTTTGGGATCAGGTGTCATGGAACATCACTGCAGTGCACACCGCATTGCACACCAATGGCCACTTTCATTAGTGACAGTCATGGTCGGTTGGGAGTGCTGGCAAAGCTTAGCGGCTTCCTCTAGAGCAGGACGTCCCCTGGGCTGCTGTCAGAACACTCAGACCATCTTCTCATCTGCAAGCTCAGCTAGGAGGTGCTCTGCTGTCAACTTCAGGCCCAGGTTCCTTGAGCACTGGTGGCCTCAGGTCCTCAGGTCCTATTACTGTGTTGTTGGCTGGAGTCCTCTTCTGTTGCTTATGTAGATCTGTCCATAAGACAGCTCGGCATCTACTTTTCAGCTCAGTGAAGAAGCTAGAGAACAAGATGAGCAAAACAGAAGCCACAATCTCTGCATGACCTAACTTCAGAAGTGATATCCCAACAACATTCTTGTCACATTCAGGGCCCAGGGAAGTTTTCAGTGCTTGGGATTGAACACATGGTCTTTGCATTGCACATGTCCAGCCCATTTATTGTTATTATTATATTTTGAGACAGAGTCTCACTGAGTTGTCCAAACTGGGCGTGAACTTGCAATCCTCTTGCCTCGACTTCCCTGGTACTGAGCTTACAGGCCTGCCCCCGCTCATCCGGCTATGACACTA